AATAATAAATTAATATTTAATTAAATAATTAAATAATTACTATCTATTTATTAGTTATTAAGTATCTCTATTTATTATTTATTTATTAAAATATAATATATAATATAATTAGTAATTAATTATTTAATATAACATTATTAATAAATATTAGAAAATAAAAATAAAAAAAGGAAAACAACTTTCAATCGTTTTCTACTTGCTTCACAAAAATTATTCTCATTTGTTTTCTGTTTTTGTTTTTATTTTCAAAATTTTTATTAAATAAATGTGATTTGTAAACTGTTTTCATTTTCATGCCTCAAAAACGTGCAGAAACATTTTTAAAAATAAGTAAAAAAATATTTTCAAACACATTATTAGACTTCGTTCATTTCACTGATTCAAGTTTGGAATTCAAGTTTTGATACAGTAAAAAGCTCTCAGAAACAGTCACTTTTTTTTTTTGCTACAGTAAAAAACTTTTACATAAAGTCACATCTCAACTCAAATCTGTCAACTAAATTTCCTTAGGTCCGTTCATTTCACCGATTCAAGTTTTACTACAGTAACAAACTCTTAGAAATAGTCACATCTAATTTTTTTGCTATAGTAAAAAACTCTCACATAAAATCACATCTCAACTCAAATTAAAAACTCGAATCAGCGAACTAAACAAGCTCTTGTTTCTCCTTTTTTAAAGGGTATTTCAGGTATTTTGAAACTTAAAAACAAGTGTTGAGGAAATAAGTCAAAATCATGCTCCTGAAGTTGACTACCTCCCTCAATTTCTCCTTCATTGGGAACTCCTTAAGACCTCTCTCCTATCTATCTCCACGCAGACCCATTTTGTGCCGCACTACCAACTTATCCTCCTCCGTTTTCATGGCCGCCACAGGTTTGTTTGGCTCCCGAGATTTTCTCTGGAAAGCAAAAGAAAATTGAAGCAACAGAGAAAAAAAAAAGTTTGATCGAATTCGTTCTCTCTGTTTTTGTTTCAGCTTCGAAGCCTTCCGATTCGCCTTGCACGCTGGTTCTGTGCGGAAAATCCGCCGCCGAGAACGAGATTGCCAAGTCGCTCAGGGACAACGCCGCTCTGAAGCTGGCGGAAAACGACGGCGTTTCGGTTCTTCTCCAATCGGAATTGGACAAACCGGTCGAGGAAGGCTCGTTCCGAGTCGATTCGTTCGTGAAATCTCTCTCCACAAATCGCTTCGGCAGGTTCCTCCTCTGGTCTCCGCTGTTGCCTTCTACGCACGACGTCGTTTCTCTGTGAGTGTTGCAATTCACAAGGCTTTATGTTCAGTTTGTTACAAAATTTTTGTTTCGGTGGAAACTGATTTTTAGTTGTGGACAGGAATTTCGGACAGCTTCCGGTCGGTTCGGTCTGCGTTGCTGATATTCAATACAAAGGGCGAGGTTTAAAACGCTAGTTCATGATTAACTGACTCTGTATATGTTTCTTTTTTTTTTTTTTATGCTAATGCTTGAATTATGTAAATATGAGGTTTGATATGCCAATTGACGACTAATTTTAAATATTTTTGGAGGCAATGCTTGAATTATTTATCTTGTTTGTTACAGATGTTAACGCTTGAATTATGTGAACTTTGCAGGGCGGTCAAAGAATCTATGGGAATCCCCAAAGGGCTCCCTTTTGTTCTCTTTTACATTGCAGATGGAGGACGGAAATGTTGTGCCTCTCGTGCAATATGTGGTCTCTCTTGCAGTCTCGGAGGCAATAAAAGAGATTTGTGATAAAAATGTAAGTTTTGCAGTTTCTATGCTCTCTCCATTCCTGTAATCTAGGTCGAATATTTGAAGGAATTTGACTTTGGCGAGAAAAAAGAGAGGGAAAAAGAGTGAGTGCTCCAAGACAACAAGATTATATTTTTAATTTAAATTTGTATAGATATCTGTTAGGATGTAATTATCTTTTGTATTAATTTTGAACTTAGTTTCTATTTATCCCTATTAGTTAGAATGTTTAGTTGTGTGTGTGCGTGTGTGTGTTTGTTTTTTTTTATTGCTACAAATAGCTTAGTGATTGTAATTCCAATTCAGAGTTGATTGATTAATGAATATTGAGTTTCTCATTTCCTCCTCTTGAGTTCTTGTTCTTCTCCCTTATGGTTATGTTTCTCTTCTTGATTCTCTCTTCTTCTATCGATATTTTCTATTCTATCTTGTCCTACATCAGTCAGCTTGCCGTTGGTGGTTATAGCTAGTATATTTTGATGAAGACTAAGATATTAGTTGATAGTCTATATGGATGCAAACAGGGTGGAAGGCATTTTTCCACTATATTTTTTTAAGAAGAATTTGTTATCTTGCATGGATACTGTCCTTGATAATTGTCATTTATTGCATGTCCTTTTAAAATTATGTTCACGAAAATGCATTGTGCAGAGCATTCTGATGTTGTTCGTCTGATTCCTCATGGACCACATGATAAAAGCTTACCAGGAAAATTGGTCAATTGTGGTCTTATGTCAGTCATTATTGCAACCGTTAATGTTTGATTCTGAAGTTTTAAAATGTATATGCTTGTTTTGGATGCTGTCTATTCCAGGGTCTACCATTCGTTGACGTTAGAATAAAATGGCCGAATGATCTCTACTTGAACAATCTCAAAGTTGGAGGAGTTCTCTGCACTTCAACCTATAGGTCAAAGAAGTTTGATGTCAGTGTCGGTAAATGCACTCGTCCTTTGGTTAAATGCTGCACAGTTGTATGCCTAAAGGCTTAAAGCTGGCTACAGCAAACAAAAACTGCTCTGTTATTTTTAAGTCTTTGAAGTTGTGTTCTGCTTTATAATTTGGTGTGATAGAGTATTAATTTGCTTTTGTTCTTGCAGGTATAGGTCTGAATGTTGATAATGAAAAGCCGACGACATGTTTGAATGCATTTCTTAAAGAATTGTCAGATGTGGATTACAAGTTTGCAAGAGAAGATATTCTTGCGATCTTCTTTAGCAAATTTGAAAAGTTCTTTGATATTTTCATAGATCAAGGTATAATCACTGTCATGTGAGTTTCACATCAGTTACATCATTCCAGCGATTTTGATGGCAATCATCGAATGCTTAATGGCATTCTTATTGCAAAACTTACTTGATAGCTTTTGTTATAGTTTTATTGTGCCATTCAGATGCCATAACTATAGCATATCAAGGGTAAGAACTGGATTATCTTCCATTGGTGCTATTTAAAATAAATGGTGCTGTACTAGCTAAGTTCTTTGGTCATATATTGCAGGATTTCAGGCTCTCGAGGAGCTATACTATAAAACATGGCTACACAGGTAAATGTGGATGGTGATCAGTCTCTTATTTGCCACTTTTTATGGATGAACATCATCTTTTTTTTTTCCCCCCGAGACAGTCGTAGGCACAAGGATCAAACAAGATATTCTTTGAATATACTTGCATTCTATTGCTGAGAAATTCTGCTTATAAATATTTGGGTGAGGATAAATTTCAGATTCAAATCTGTTCTTTTTTTGGAAGAAGTTCAAGTTTCTCTGTTGCTCCTTACAATCTTATGTGCTATCAAAAATTAAGGAAGCTGTAATGTTGTGCTCTCTTTGTTCCTCAACAAAACCTATAAATTTTTAGCCTTTTTGTCTTTGTTTTTTTTTATTTGAGACTGAAGCCATGCACCATCAACTTCTACTTTCCTGCCTACGTGATTTTTTGTGTTCGGTTTTGTTTTTTGATTTGAGACTGAAGCCATGCACCATCAACTTCTACTTTCTTGCTCGTGTGCATGTACAAAGTCATGATTTTGTTTTGTATTCGCAGTGGGCAGAGAGTTATTGTGCAAGAAAATAATGAGGACAAAGTGGTAGAAAATGTAGTCACAATACAGGTACAAGCATTGACATATGAGATTACAAATGTTCTTTCTACACTATAACGAAGTAGCATTTTTTAGCTGATTCGTTCTTGGAAATTCATTGTTCCATGTTTTTATGTTAGAAACTCTTTTTTTTCCCCTCCTTTTTTTCGTTGACATACATGATCTCAAATAGAGATATTTGGGTACTATGTTTTAGCTTTTGTGTCTTCTATTTATAGGGTTTGACCTCCTCGGGATACTTGCTAGCTGTTGGTGATGACTGTCGGATGTGTGAACTTCATCCCGATGGGAATAGGTAAATAATCTAAATTCTTACTAAGTTTTTGAGTTTCTCTTTTCTCCATTCTAGCAATGCAATACACCTTTTACTCCGACTTTTGATTATTTTGTAGTTCGTTTCAATTTCAATTGACCTTAAAAAATGGATAGATATTGTAATGTGTTTTTATTAATCACCTGTAAGGTTCTCCGAAGAAATCCAAAAGTGAACTTATAGTAAAGAGCCTTCAAGTTAAGATCCATTGTTCGGAATTTTTTTTCTTTTTAAAAAAAGTGGAACAGAGCTACAAAATAGTGAAATACACCAGATTGAGAGGGCAGGTTTCATCTTTAATTAAAACCAATGCTATTGGTCTAATTGTTTTTTCTTTCTAGTAAGGGTAGGAAAAACGTGTCAAATTGGACATTTTTGGCAACACTATAGGTTTGCTATATAAACAAATAAATTGCGGTAGATGAGGGATGTTTGGCTCTCTGCGGTCCATCCAGTTAAAAACTTTGACTTTGTGCTTGCACAATATGATGATAAATTTTCCGTATTCTTTCCCTTGAGTTGGGATGACACAAATTGTTGCACAGTGTATGATTAATTACATGGCCCGCTGTTTGTTCAAGTTGAGCAGTCCTAGACAATACCTAATTTAGAATGCCAGACAAATAGAATAGAATGGGGTAGTGTAGCACCTGTAATAACTGTCCACCTATCCTAGCTTAGCCTGCCCTCAAACATTTTTCAAACTCGGAATTGCTATAAAGAATCACCGGTGCTTAGCAATTTAGCGCCACTCGTATGTGACAGATATATGAATTTATAATGTACCAGCCAGGTAATGCGGTACTTAGCACAAGTGGCACTTTTAACATTTGAACTAAATATTTTTGTTCCTTCCCTTTGCCTAAAGAAAGGTAATTTAGGGCTTTTGGGACGTCCAACTTGTGCTCTGTTATTCTCCGCTGAGACTTAAGTTCATATGTATTTATCTAGAGGATATTTGTTTCCTATATTCGTCTCTGATTTTGAATCATGATTCATGATACCGTGTTTTTTCTCATAAAAAATACACGTAAAACGAGAATAATTCTGAATACATAAATTAAACGTCACCCTAGTGATTGGCATAATATATTACTGCATTTTTATAATTTTTTACTATCACCCTTTGGTATTAGAAGTGGGATTTTCTCTTTAACAATAGGTCAAGTTACTTATCATTAATTCTTCAAATCGCTGCTGTCATGCAGCGGCAGCCTAACGAAAGTAGAAAATTTGTTGATACTAAGAATACCGGAAGTTCACGCACAAAAGATAGAGAAAATTTCCAAAATAATTAAGTGCAGAACAATCCTTCACAAATGTGCAAAGCTCATCAGGTCAACTGAGACATCAAACAGACTGGGTTCGTTGTGTCGTAGTAATTATCGCTGACTCTGAAAAGCAACTTTTGGAGGTTTAGGAGCTGTTCTTTTGTCGTTTTTGAGTTAGGTGACTTGAGTGTAGATTTTGTGTTGAGTTTGAGTTATAACTTAAGTTGAAGTTTTAACTTGAGTTTGTGTTTGGTTGTGTACATTTGAGTTATGGTTTGAGATAAGAATCTTTTTGAGTTTGTGTTTTAGTGAGTCAAAACTTGAATTTGTATTTAGATAGTATAATAATAAAAACTCAATGCTGATGGAAAATTTTAATATGGCTTATTCGTCTTTTCGTTGTGAACACATAAAAAAAATCATCTCAATTAGAATTAAAACGAAAAAGTTATAGCATTTTTAAGAATAGAAAAATACTGTTCATTAATTTGAGTTCGAGTTTCTAAACTCAAGTTGAAGGGAAAACTTGAACTGGAGTTTTAGTCTCAAACTCGATTTCAAACTTAAAAAAACATGAACTTAAATAAAATTATAACTCGAATTATTTTTTTTTTTTTTTTTGAGTTTTTGACTCAAAAAAAGGGCCGTCAATGGCCCCTTAGATTCATAAAACTTGTACAGTTGTACCCTTGTTACATTTTTATGGCATTCCACTATTTGTGGTCTATACTCGTGGTGACGCTTTAGGAAGAAATTTTGTAGTGGAATATTTGAGCGAATTTTAACATAATCTGTCCATCACTCTACCAAATATCAGGTCTTATCTTGTTCCCCGGTCTCTCATCTTTTGGTCTTCCATTTTGTGCTAAATACATAAGATCTTTTGTGTGCTTTCCACATGCATCAACAAATGAGACAATTTAAACTTTTTTATTATAATATTTTTTCTCATAATAAAAATGAATTTCTATTCCAATTTTTTTTTTTCAAACCTATGAATAACTTTGCCATTTTTTTTTATCAATTTTACCATTACTCCAAAAGAGTTTATTGGCATGTGCCATTTAATTGGTAAGATCAAATTATGATTTATGATTTTTATTTTTAAAATTTAAATTTTTTATGAGAAAAAAATATTATAATAAAATTAAAATCATAATTTAAATTATGTAAAACTCTTATGGTCCAAAACAATAATGAAAGCTAGTAGCAGTCACAAATTATCGTCCCCAGCTGGATATGGTTCTAGAAGTAGTACTACGCTAAAGCACTGATTATCGTTGTGATTTCAACACAAGTAATCATGACACTATTTCCATTATGCATTTTATAGTTTTGACTTCTTCAAAGGCCTGGTTAGAAGAAAGCTTGACTGAGAAAAGATTCCTGTACACTATCCACCGTCCCCCGTTGGCTGCAGTCTTGCTGCATCATGTGATCTGCTGAGGATGTTGTCATTTATTTTATTTTATATTAAAATATGGCTTAGAACCCGTGAATAGTACTTGGTTTTCCTTCTCGGTCTGTAATATGTATATTTTTGTTTTGTTTCTTCTTCCAAATAGTGAAGCCTTTGTTTTTATTAGCATACATTTTGATTCATAATACGAAATAAGATCATCATTACTACCAACCAATAACTTATTGCTGATCAAAAAAAAAAAATCAGTTATTTGTAAAATCCGGTAATCATTGCCAGCTTATGTACAGTTTGATTCTCTCTAATTTTTTGTTGAATTTATGGTAGAAGGGATCACAGACCAGCGAGTTGTACCTAGAGACATTTTGTACATGTTTGTTGATAAGTTGGCAAGACTATCATATTATGCAATATATTATTTCTAGTTGAAAGGTCTGCTTAAAGATATGCTAGATTCGGTTGGTTCAGCCATAATTTATTGACCCCATTTGAAAACCAGGTGGGCAAACATCATCGCCTGAAAAAAAATGCTGTATCCTTGTGACGCAAATAGGACTTATAATTCCCTTTATCACTGTTAATTTGTTGAAACGTTGCAGGAGAAAAAAGAAAGATTCTTCCCTCCAAGAAGCCAACTATCATTGGGGTGTCTCACTGTAGGACAGTCCAACACCTAGACAACAGAATGTCCTTCCCCTGTAGGGTACATGTTCTCCTCTTTGAATTTTATTTTAGTATTTGTAACTTTGTGGCAAAAATAAAATAAAATAAGCACTTATCTTTATTTGCCTTCCCCACATGCAAGGCCGGCCCTTATATATTCAACAAAATGTCAAAGTGACAAGCATTGTTGTTATGGCCGTGAACCTTTTAACTCAAGGTGGGGGTCCATTGTGGCACAAATTGTCTCTATTTTATGGCAATGTGGGAAAAACGTTTTGCGAATTGAGTCAAGTCATCTTCAAGAAAAGCTGCAAAAGGCCAATGTTTAAGATATTTCTTGTTAGGTTCCAGTTCTTTGGTTTCATGGTTGATTGGCTTTTGAGATTTATTTCCAAGTTTAGGGTCCGCCAATGTGGCCAACACGTCAGGTTGCAGCTTTTATCTGTCTAGGAATTGTCTTGGATTTTGGTTGTAACTTGTAAAGCGTTGGGACAAGATAAATTACTCATAATTAATTGCTTTTATCTGTTCCAATGTTGAGTTTTTGTGCTTGGATTGTTCCCATTGGTTACATGCACATGGTGGCTTTGCTAAATATGTGGTTGTCGTGATCGGTGGAGAATTATGCAATGCCTTTAATAATTTACATAAAGAATTAGGGATTTTGATTAGCTTTTAGCGTTCTTGATATGTGGGCAGATGGAGAAAGGAAGAAACGAAAAAGTTCATTTTGAATCATCTCAAATAGAAAGAATTCACGGTCAAAAGTCCGTTTCGGGATTGTTGAAAGGATACTTGATGAACTTGACAGTTTGGAATAGCTGTGATTTCCACAACTTTTACTTGTACATAAACGTTAAGATGCAACGTAGTGTTTGAATGAGTTCAGTTGCATTTTTAAGTTACGATAATTTGAATGTAAATCTTTAAGTTGAATTTGAATTATAACTTGAGTTGAAGTTGTAATTTAAGTTTATGTTTAGTTGTATACATTTGAGTTATGATTTGATATGAGAATCTTTTTGAGTTTGTGTTTTGAGTGAATCAAAACTTGAGTTTGTATTTATATAGTATTTTAATAAAAACTCAATGATGATGAAAAATTTTAATAGGATATATGGGTGGAGTTTTATTCGTCTCTTCATTGTGAACGCATAAAAAAAAAGAATCATCTCAATCAGAATTAAAACAAAAAAAATTATAGCGTTTTTAAAAATAAAAAAAATAATATTCATTAACTTGAGTTTGAGTTTAGGAACTTGAGTTTAAAGGGAAACTTGAACTCAGATTTTAATCACAAACTCAAATTAAAACTCAAGTTAAAACTCAAATTTTACAAAAGAACATAAACTCGAATAAAATTGTAACTTGAGTTCAAATTTTTTTTGAGTTTAAGTGTAAACGAATAAATCTTAAAATTTTTTAACGTTATAAGTACCCAACATCAGTATCACATTAGAGGGCCCGTCCCATTAGAATGACCGTAGACAAAATCTATATATATATATATGTGCATGTATATATAAGAGGGGGGGGGGGGGAAATCATTCCCAACTCTCTCTCTCTTTGTTAAAAATTCTGTTCTTTTTTATTTTGTATTTTTTCCTTCACTGATCTCTCGGACTAACACATTAGAACTATTTAAGTCTACATTTAAGTCATCATAACTCTTCAAGAAAAAAAAAACACGTAAATCGAAACTATTGAATGTTCGTAGTCAAACAAAGAGATTAAGCTAGACGGTTTCTGCTTCAAAAGCTAATTCTTTTCTTGGCAAACGCGGTAAGAATTTCATGCGTTACCATACATATATAGACACGAGGAATTGACTTTGGGGGCGTATAGCGTTGATCTAACTCTTAACACAAGATCTTGGCATAAAAAGAAGCATGCATGAGTCAAGACGGAGTAAGGAATAATTGTCTCAGCTGGAAAAATAAAATGCAGACAAGATAAGGTTACGTTCTCTTTCGGAGAAAAAAAATGAGAAAGGGAAATTACCTTGTCTCATTCTCTTTCGTAGAAAAAAATGCAAAACGGAGATTTCGGGGAAGTTAGAGAATCAGAGATCCTTTGAATTAAGATTTTCTTTTTTGGGGAATTTTTCTAGCAGATTTGTTCTTTTTATGACCACTTTGTTTTATCCGTGAGGTTAAGTTTTTAACGTCTAATCAGTGATTAAAATCATTACACGTCGCACGATATAAATTTTTAATGTTGATATTCATAGATCATATACCCTTAAAACGTGACAGATTACACCCCTAAACTATACAACTTGTCCCATTTTGACCCTTCCATCACAAAATCCATTAAATTCTAATGGAATTAGGAAAATGACAATTTTGCCCTTTAGCTCTATATATGTTTTCAATAAAATCTATAAATTCTGTTTCTCTATTATATAAGCTTTACTTTTTTTTTTCTTTTTTCCTTTTTTTTCAACAGATGTTTTCTATTTTAAGGGCGTGATTCTTGTGAAAAAAAAAAAAAAAAAAACTCGTAAACAAAACAAGGGAAAAACTAGAAATATGGTTTCAAAAGACTTCCAATCATCACCATAAAATGGTCAAATCCATATAATATTAGCCTCACATATCCAAAATATCAAGTCTACCAAATATGCTACCATAAAATGTTTGACGAAAGGTTAAAGTGATTAGTAATAATTGTCCAAAATGCCCGTTATCAAAATAATTATGTGAGGATCACATGTCTACTTCCGTTAAGATTAACAGTTTTTGTGATGGAAGGACTAAAATGAGACAAGTTGTATATTTTAGGGGTGTGTTATGTCACCTTTCAAAGTTGACTATGTTCATTTATACAGTAAAAAGCTCTCAAAAATAATTACATCTAATTTTTTTGCTACAGTAAAAAGTTCTCATATAAAGTCATAACTCAACTCAAATTAAAAACTCGAATCAACGAACTAAACGGACCCTTACGAGATAAAATGGGACAACTTACATAGTTTGGGGATAAAAGTGGAATTAACCCTTGTTTTAAAGCACAAGTATGAAGAAAGGTTCAATTTTCCATAGAGAATTACTTTTCTTCAAGTGTTATTTGTCTACGCTCGAAAATAGTCTATTAAGGGAATTTTTGATAAATTACCTCCTAAAAACAACAAACTAATGACTTATATAACATTAAAAAGTAAGTTTATAGTAGTCCTTAACAAATATATTCAATAAACAGGAACAAAGTCTACATTTTCCCATAAAAAAACAAATATATTCAAGGTCATATCTGTTATCTAATACATGTTTATACTTTACATATACGACCTATAAGCGCCTGAAACACCTATTTGAACAGTTTAGAAAAGAGGGTGATTAAAAAAATTTCAATCGTATGGGAGGGTATGGAAAAAAAAAGACCTCTATTAATAAGATACATTTTAAACTCCTAGATAATATGATATTATCTTAATACCAACAAGGTATATTTTTTCATGCCCTACTGTAAAAAAAATCATTTTCTTAGCCTACCAAAAAAAATTTCAAAAAATAATTCAATTTACGCGGGATAGAATACCTCTTTCTTCCTCATTTTTATTTTCTTCTTCATCTTTTTCTTTTAAGTGATATCTGAATAGTTAAATCGTATCACAATCATTTTTCTTTTAAGTGATATCTGAATAGTTAAATCGTATCACAATCATGTCAGATTAAGAAAAGTAATGATAACTTTCTTAGTAAAAAGAAAAAAAAAAAGAAAAATAATAATAATTTAATGGAACTTCATGAAAATTTAATGATTGAGAATTATCTGCGTGGAATTTTTGCTTATCTGATTGTAAAATTCTCTCTTTTTTCTATGAGCTAAAGTGTCTTCTTCTAGTTACTTTCTTTCTCTCCAAATCTTTAAAATGCAAGAAGATCTCCTTTTGGACATGATTGGCTTGATAATTGAAAAAATGGGTCAAAAGAATGCACATCGCTAACAGTAAGTTCAAGTACTAAAGTTACTAAGCAAGCGTGAAAGGAATCAAATCATTACCGATAACATTTTCCAATCATAAGCATATCAAATAACTTTCTACTGTTCATATGGTCAAAGTAAAAAAATATAGAAACTTTAATGATACCTTGACATGTATACTTATAATTAACCTTAATAGCCTTTTCCCTGTGCTGCCAAAGTGTCAATTATTACTTCATTATAAATAATCTCAAGCTATATGGCCATGATACAGTTTAGAAATATATATATATACACATATATATATATATGGACAATGCCGAAAGGACCCCATTTCGAATGGAAAGGAAATCAACAAAGTATGAAACTTTTGACCTTTATTTGACGTTAATCATGAAGTAACAGTTGTCTAATTACATACGTTTTGCCTGTATGTAAGTATGATTTGTCGGTTTGAAATTATATATAAGCCCCTCAAAAGTTTAACAGTGTTTGTTGAAATAATTATATATTTGTTCCGATGTCATTGTCTAGAACATTTTGCATACAAAAGGTAAAGGAAAAAATAATTAGAACAAGATTGTTCTAGATCATTTTCTTTTGAAAAGTATATGGAGCTAACTGGATAAGGATAAATTTCTCATGCAATGCATTTGAATGGTCAATTCCCCGATCAGATTTATTGTTTAATTTTGTATGTCTTGAATAACACCTAATTAATTATATTATTTCACGATATCACTTATAAAATCAGTTAAAAATCTTTTAAAAGTTTGTTAAACATTATTTAGGATATATAAATTAGACCAAAAATATAAAGGCCCGTTGATTTTACCGATTTAAATTTAAAATTTAAATTTTACTACGGTAAAAAATTCTTAAAAATAATCACATTTATTTTTTTTATTATAATAATAAATTATCACATAAAATTATATTCTAACTCAAATTAAAAATTTAAATTAATAAACTAAACGGACCCAAAAAAATTTCGTAATTATATAAACTTGATAGCTTACCTTGGACAACTGCTAACGTTTTAGGGCCGAGATTCGAGATATTTTGTCCTCTTGCTTTTATAATGTAATTACTATAATCCGTCATGTCATCTTTGATGATTCAAAACAATAATGATCACTTTTATCTTAAATTGAGGCAAAAGACTTTCAACACAACTAAAATATAAGGCTTCATTATTCAAACGTTTCCTTTTTTCTCTATTTATACAACTTTTGGGATTGACTAATAATTTGTATATGGAAATAAATTGAGGGAAAAAAATATGATTAGAAGAATTATAACAAGAATTGATAATACAGTGATGACACTGCCTAGTTAATTGTAAGTTCACCGTGATATTTACTCTGTCTCTTGGAAAATTCATGTATCTCTGTCAACAAAGAAGTATTATTTATTTCAAATATAGACAAATGATCCCATTTAATAAGGTGAGTGTTCTCGTCATCGTGTAATTCAAATTTTCTATAGTAACACTAAAAAA